CGCACCAGCAGGATGTATCCACGCCGCCCGTGCATGAGCGCGACGTCGGCGAACTTGAGAGACCGGAGCGTGCTCATGCACGAGAGCATTTTGTGCTCAAGGTGCGCCTCCTTGAGCGCATTCCGCACGTAGCTCGGGTCGTCGATCTTGCATGCCGCACGGCGTTGCGAGACCCACGATATGGCGCTAGACGGGAGGCCGGGCATCTCGTGCCCGAGCTATAGAAGTTGAGGTAAGCTTTCCATCGATCGCCCGCACTTCAAGCCACTTACCTCGAACCAATGCGCAAGTTCCAGCTGCACGAGCGGTTTGATCATCGAGAAGACAGCCTCTTGATGATCTTTACCCCATAGGCTGGCGTACGAAAACGCAAAAGCCGCGAAGCGCATCACGCAGTCGGCGAACTCGAAGGCGGGCCCCTTCGGAGCGGCGCCCTTATTGAGCGCGACGGCGAGTACTTCTTCCGCACCTAGTGTATCATCGTTCTCCATCTCTTCCCCGGACGAACTCAGCTCCTCGATCTCGCTCCTCTTCCTCTTCGAGGCTGGCGTCACAGACCCCAAGGTCTCCGCGTCGTCCTCCTCAGCTAGGATGGCCCGAGTTGCCACGCGCCTCGTTCGCGCGGATGAGCGCCTTGTCTTCGACGCGCGCTCGGAAGCGCGTTTATCACCGACTTCCGCAACATTCTCGTCCTCGGACGCCTCGGCCAGTTCACGAGCGACACGTAGATCGTCGTTATCCGGCTGCGTGTCGACCTCGGCGTCAGTGGTTGTTGAGTCGATGCCGTGCACGGCAGATTCGCGAGCGTCGAGTGTGAACGGTTCCTCGAGAAGCTTCGTCCACACTTCGGCGTCTGGTGATAATCGGTCAGTACGCTCTTGTAGCATGACCCACATGAGTACGTACGTGTGTCACCATCGACGCGCTTAGGCGCCTCTTCGATAATATCTGTGCTCGTCGCGTGTTTGATGCCTGGTTCGATGTCAGATCATCCCGGTGCACGCCTAACCGCCCCTGCTCACCGTCTTCGCGGACTTGGGTCGACGCACAGTCCTGCTGATCAATAGCAGCTTTGCCCGACTCTGCCTCTGCGAAGAGAGGTTGACGTTAGCCTCCCAAACGCGGATAGACCAGAGGTACGACACTTACTTTGTGTCGATGACGCGTCAACCGCCGCCGCAACTTGAGCGCGGGCGGCTTCCTGCGCCTGGGCCAGAGCCAACTGCGCCTTGGCGACTGCCAGCTCGGCTTGAAGAACGGAATCCGACATGTCGAAGGTGCGTAAGAGGTTGAGCTCGCTGTTAGCTGGTGATGGTATGGGTTAGAATGCAGCAAGTAGCGAGTCGGGAATAAGTACCCACCTCGACGCACTTCCCACAACTTGAGCGCGATCAATCCTGCCCATGTACCATTTCCGGCGTAAGACGATCTCAACTTGAGCGCAATCAAACGTGCCCACGTACCCTTTTCAGCGAAAGAATATCAATCTCGGTCTCAGTATGACTCACGCACAGTGACCCCTGTATGGAAAGTGTGTGTGCGGGCGAGCTTGGGCTCCACGAGGCCGCCGCGCGCGATATGTGGTGTCGCCACATTGAGAGTTCGGTGAACATCATACCTTTGTCAGTCCGAATAATGTCCAATGCCTGTCACACACAAGCACAACGAGCATTTAGTACTATCAATTCTAGCGGACGATTCTTCAAGGCCGCGAGGCCGCGCGCCATCGCCGTTAGAAGCAGGAAGACACGCGCGCGCGCGCGCGCGTTGATGGATCCGATTCTCCCGCGCTTCCACTACTTACTATTGGCCTCGTCCTCCGGTCTTCCTGAGCGTACGAGGGCGGTATCCACTGCTCACCAGCAGGGTCCTGCGCCATCGAATGCTCGGGCTGCGCGCGAGACGGTGTGAGCGTTGACGAAGGATACAGAGACGAACCAAACTCGTACGTGCATACGGCTACTCAACTCAATCTTGCACGGCTCTAACACCCTCCTCCATAGTTGGACACACGATCGCCATATTTGCGTCGACGCCAACTTTCGATTGGCCAACAGGCTCAACAGCTCCACTGACAAGACCGACCCGAGTCTGACTGATGGTCGAGCGTATGTCGTCTCTTCAAAAGAGTTTGTGAGGTACTACGATGCCATGGAGAAGGATGGCAGCAGGGAGAAGGTAGGCGCTGAGCTCATCACCCGTATGGCAACGTCTGACACTTTCCAAAGCCTAGCGATTGCTCGCGCTTCGGTGCGCTGGAGTGTGCAAACCCAAAGGGCGGGCGGTACATGCGCAGCACCGGCGTGGCGGTGGTGTTCTGCGTAAGGCACGATATGATACTACCGGAGGCGATGGGGCAGTTGAAAGTGGGAGAGAGGTAAGCCTTTCCGCCCTGCGCGTCTTTCGGTACTTGCTCATTTGCCGTGCAGATACAGCGTTACTTACGCGTCTGCTCCTGACGCTCATGCTGCTGCGAGTCCCGCCTCCTAGGACGCGACGCGCGTCTGTCTCTGCGCTATCGACACTCTTGCTTACAGAGCATACCCTACCACCTTCTACGCCCATCTCGACGCGCGCATAGACGCGTAACCCACTCTTCAACGCGTCAGCTTAGCTGTGGCACCTCCACCCTTCGCGCCTTACCACGACCACGACCACGACCCTAATACCAATGTCGCTCAACGCATCAACGGACTCCTGGGTTCGCTCCTACGAGCACCTGCAGCACCTCCCGCGCGCAGACGAGGCGCTCGACCTGCTCAAGCGCATCGCGTCGCTCGTGAAGCCCATCATGCGCAAGCACGCGTGGATGCTGCCGACGCTCGCGGAGTTTTTCCTGATCAGACGAATTTGCTCGGTGCGCTTTGATACTACTTAGTGTGTACCTGTGTGAAAGAGGCTGATGCGTGGTTGATAGGCATGAGTATGTGTATGATCTGTGTCTGAGAGGGCAAGTGCTGAGGGGATTGTGTGTTGCAGATGTTAATGGCGGACAGAAGATCCTCATCAGGCTGCGCCCGCACTACGATAGCGCGGCCTTCATACCCGAAGAAGAGCTCCTCGGCACGATGCTCCACGAGGTACTCCCCCCCTCCTTCCTCCCAACCACCTACCTCATATCCTTCCGCAGCTAACGCACAACGTCCACGGCCCGCACGACGCGCACTTCTACGCCTTCCTCGACACGCTCCGGGACGAGCTGTACGAGCTCCGCCGGCGGGGGTACGCCGGCGAGGGCTTTTTCTCGCCTGGACGGAGGCTCGGGGGCTCGGGTGGACTGTCGCATGATGTGCCGGAGCATGTTAAGCGGCTGCGCGCGGTTGAGGCGAGGCGGGGGATGCAGGGTGTTCTGGGCGGAGGAGGTGGAGGGGCGAGGTTGGGCGGGGGAAGTCTGGCCGGTATAGGACTCTCGCCTAAAGAAGCCGCCGCACTCGTACGTCCTTTCCCCCTCTTCCCCATCCCACTCCAAACTAACAAACCGTCCCTGCGCACGTAGGCGGTAACAATGCGCGCAGAAGACGCGGCCCACTGCGGCACGGCGACCGCGCGCGCGAGGACGCCGAGATGGAGCGGGCGCTCCGGGAGAGCGTTAGGACGGCGAGTGATGTGGTTAGGGAGCAGGAGGAGATTGAGCGGGCTATTAGGGAGAGCGCGCGGATGGCCTGTAGTTCGAGCTCAAGTCTGAGGCCGCCGCCGGTGAATATGGAGACGCGGCCGAGCTCGAGGCCGGCGACGACGTGGGCGTGTGCGGTTTGTACGCTTGTTAGTCCTGTTACGGCGAAGGCTTGTGATGCGTGCGAGACGCCGCGACCGGCGGCAAAGTCGACGTCGACGCGCTCTGCGCCTGCTTCCACGACTTCACGGACTGCGCCGTATCCTCCGCTATTTAATTCGAGACCGCCGGAGCCGAAGGGGTGGGACTGTAGCGCGTGCGGGGAGAGGGGGATGCCGCATGAGTTCTGGACATGTAGCTTTTGCGGGGTCGTGAAGGGGGATAGCAGTGTGCGGTATTGAGCGCGGATTCGCTGTCGTGAACGGTGTATTGCTGGATCTATTGTCGTGTTTTGCTTTTGTTGCTTGTGCTTTGATTGCTTTGCTGCGTGTATAATATCTGTACCAATTTACAGACTGAAACCCTCCAACAATACACCATGCGCTTGTGTGCGCTGACAACCATACCTTTGCTCTCTCGAACCCAAGCTCTACGCGAACGAAGCCCAAACCCCGCACACACTCCCCCAACCCCCATAACGCCCCTCACCCAATTCTGCCTCTCCCAAGCCTTAACACCCTGCACAGCCCTCTCCCCGCCAACCTTCTTCGCCTCGACCTCGTCCTCACTACCCTTCACAAGCTCTTCAATGCCCTCTAACATAACGAAGAACGTATACGGCAACACCCCAACGGTCAACGCGGCCGCTGCCGCGAATAAGAAGCTGCGGTGTGCAGCGCCAAACGAGCCATGAGTGGTGAAACGCGCGTTGGAGGCGTTGAGAGCGGCGTGGGCGTATGCGATGCTTGAGAGCGCGGCGAGGGGCGGCTCCTAGCTAAGTATGGTGTGGACGGCTTACTACGAACCCCTAAGTTTTGACTGTTATCTGTACGACTGTGTAGAATTACCAAGTTCGACTTGATTTTCTGCAACCTCGAGCGAGGAGTGTAACGTAATAATAACGGGATGACTAGTAAGGGGTCTATTCTGCGAGACGATAGTAATAACGCGCAAAAACGAGACACACGAGAATCGAACCGGCAGCATGTTCCGTCGTGACAAATCGCCTAAAGCAGTTGCCACTCAGCCATCCGCTCTACATCGGAGCTTCTATCCAAAACAATATATTTTTACCAACATGCGTCCTATCAACAGAACGTGACCTCCCTGTAACACATTCAACGGTGCGCCCTTGACGCGCTCTTTGCCCTCACCAGCACCCGCTGAATAGGTGCGCACCACTATAGCTGCCCGTATGCGCACATGCTGACCACATTTACAGTGGAGTGTTTTGTTGGAATTATTGTGACGGTCTTCGCGGAGTGACAACCGTAGGATCGCCAGGGTCATGTAAGGTGCGTGGGCCTACAACCATGAATGCATCTTTCATGCTAACAAGTATACCTAGATTGTGTCTACCGGTTGTTGGTCCGAACGGACGGGGACGTACTCCTACGATCAATCACGGTGGCGAATGAGTGCTGCCAGCTCGTTGTGTGCAGGCTCGTGCGGTGCACTCCCTCACATTCTTGGTTATTTAGTATGTGCGAAAATGGCATGACGCATGCGATGCATCTGAGCGCGCTCCGAACGGCCTGGCGTGGCAGCCGTAGGCTTGGGCGAGGATCTAAATTATCGAGGCCAGTATGATTGGAATACTTATTCGTCGAGGGTACTTGATTGAACTGAATACTCAATTGGACTGAATACTCAATTGGACTGAATACTCATTCTAAGCATTCGACGTAACCCACGACTGTCTCGCTTGTAACATGCTCTCAATTATTCTTGTCCCGTTCTTTTCTGCCACGTTGAATGACGTGTTAGACTGCTTTTGATGTAGCCCAAGGCTCGTGAAAGAAAGTTGTGGCAGTCTAAGTGCGTAGAGAGCCGAGCGACGCTTCCGATACACGTGGCAGAAGACGTGTGCGCGTTGCCAGTCCTACTGTCGCTCTCTCCCGCTTTCATTATCGTCTAAGTGCGAGGCTCGATCGCCTGTCGATATCTACAAGCGGGTCGAGAGAAGTGATGGTTGGTCTTTCGGAGAGGTGTCTCCGTGCGAGCGTGCTGTGCGTAGCATTGAGCTCGACTCTGGACGCAAATTGACCGCCATCGCCGTCCATGCGACCTTTTACTGTGGTGACTGGCGCTTCGTCGCTATCATTGATGGAACTGTGAGATAGGCGGTAATATATTATCCCAGCATGAGAGGTCAACCCGTGGCATCGCGAGTACCACCACCGGCCTCGGTTGCTTCCTGTGCCTATGATGATCTTGCTAACGTGAATCATATAATCATACGTAACTCGAGACCAGTCATGTTCCATTCTATACTTCCGGCGTTTCGCTTGTGCCGGACGTGAACAAGGGCGTCGAAGTTCAATTTAATGAGATCCGCCGGGGGAAGCATTGACTACATAGGTCGAACGCGGACGATACATGCTAAGTATCTCCACGACACTCCTTCCCGTGATGGAACACAAACTCAGTGCGACCTTGTCAGCGATACATTTCCCGTACATTGTTCGGTGCCCACTGACAAGACTTGAACAACAGGACTGCCTGGCTCAACGCCATGACCCCTACAGCTCAATTCAAGGCTCTCACTCATGACAAGCGCCTAGAGCTACTAGATGCTGAGACCGAACGTTTCCAGTCAATCGGCCCTCTTTTCAGACAGCGTCGCAACGCGTACTGCATATGGTGCAGCTTCCCACCCGAGGTCCTCTGTCTCGTCCTCGAAGAGATGCAGAGTGTGAGCGGTTGGCCTGTGGTCCCGGCGCTCGACAGAAAGGACGGTCGTAATCTTGGATGGATTGCCGCTACGCATGTATGTTCGGTCTGGAGGAAGGTGCGTCCCATTCCACTAGCTGCTATAACTCGTTGACTGACGTTCATACGCCAGGTTGCGATCGCTGCGCCTACACTCTGGGCAGAGCCCGATGATCTTCTCGCCATGTCGTGGACGCTGATGTCCGCGGTCATTCAAAGGTCCCAGCGCCGTCCTTTCAACATCAGCTTTTTCGGTGATAGCCATGTCACCTTAGGTCGCCTCGACGCCAGACTACCCCAGTGTTTTGCGCCGCCTATGTACGATCGTCTTCAGGAATTAAGTCTCGAAGAATTCCCCCTCAGCGCGTATGAGCGCGTAGCCAGTCATCTAAGTGCAGCGTTCCCGAACCTGCGAACACTGCGCGTGGACCTTCTTCTCGAGGAGATGGACGACGTCCCGGAACTGCCTTCCGACATGCAATTAAGTGCATCTTTGACCAAACTCGTTCTGATAAACTGCCTCCCCCCCCGTTGGAGCCCCTCCTTTTTCGGCTTACGGCTCAAACACCTTACTGTGCGGTGCCCCGAGCAGACTCCACCCACCAGCCTTCCTTCGGTCCTGCAACTTGCGACCGTCCTCATGTCTTTGAAGTCTCTGGAGGTTCTTACTCTCGAGGATGTTTTCGCGGACAGGTTATTGCTGGAAGATTGCTATCCTGCCATCATTCTACCCCTTTCACTGCGCTTTTGCGAATTGAGAGCTTCCGAACATAACGCGTGCCATCGCGCCTGCTTCGAATTCCTCGCACATCTTGTTCCCCCCTGCAACGTGGAACTCAAAGTCGATATCTACGATCCCTACGACATCAGTTCCTTCAGCAGCGGGGTTGACTTACCAACCTTCTCTACCCTGACTTCGACGGCCATTCAGAGCGTCTATGGCCATCTGAGTCCTGCAAAGGCACTCATCGTCACAGACACGGCCTTTCTCACACATAGAAACGACACGTCGGAGTCATCGTTGGGCCATCTCATGGACACGTCGCACGGTGTCTTCAGCGCACTGATAGACAACAGAGAATCCCTTATCACTCTCTCCTTCGAGGCTGCCGGCGTCCAGCCTCTTGCCACATCTAGGCTTCCAATGACGCTGGAGCATCTGGCCTCCATAAGTCTCACCGCGAGAGGGTTGTCCATCGTCTACGACAACCCCGCCTGGTGGGACGCTTTTGAGACAGCAAGAGGCGTACGCAGGCTGAGTCTGTGCATGGACGACTGCGCAGCGGTACTTTGGCTGGCCGAGCGTGTCATGGAACAGGGCGAGATGGGCTTTCCGTTCTTCCCAAACTTGGACAGCATATGTATCACTGCTCAAAACGTCCGCATCGCGAAGGATCCGCGTCACCGGCCATCATTCGAGTCTGCTCTACGCGCCCTTGAGGCAGTCGTGAAGGGCAGGAACACCATTGGCCCGTGCAGAGTCAGGGAGGTTGTAGTGGACCAGCTGCTTCGCGAGTGGTGGGCTTGGGATACGTTCGCAATCCATGCCCAAGTTACCTTTGATGGATTTCTTGTACTAGACCGTATTGTGTAGACGATGTACCGCGCACCTGTGTGCTTGCCTCAATATCAGAGTGCTTGAAATTCGGCTACTTGTCACAGCAAGCGGGGACAATACGCCGTTCAAGCATTTCGCTTAACGCCCACGAGGGTGCACGAATAGTAGGGAGCAGGCGATGCTCCAGCCAGAGCCCGACCTCACGTACGATATTCATGGGATACGGCTAGCGCGCCGCGAGGCGACCACGGTAGGGCAGCGAGACTTCACACGATTACAAGGAAACGGTGCCAATGATGTGATTGCGATGGCAATGGTTACACGAACAGGCCCGGTATCGCACATAAACATATAGAACACGAGGGATTGTCGGACAGCGGCGCCACACGTAGAGTTGGCCGCTTGACTCACGGCCCCGACAGGCGACGAATTCCCCGAGTCTGAGAGGCTCAATGTCCAGCAGGTAATGGGTGCGAACTAGTCGTTCTCGGCATGGCGACCTGTATGTGCGGAGATTGCTAGTTCCAGTGTCGACCCAGTGTTTCTTTTGTGGAAGGAGTCTAGGATGGGACCAATAGTGACAGTACTTAATGGTGCCCCCGCCGTTCCCTGTTCGCAGACCAGCTCTCCTGCTCGAAGGATCGAACTAACCAAATGACGCGGATCTTAGGTCTTGCTTGTCAACGGTACATGGTTGACAATATTCGAAATCGAATGGCAGTTGATTCAAGCGCGCAAGTAGATATAAGGAGTAACACATAAGACACGCAAGGATGACGGGTCAAGATACTGGAAGGCTGATGCATCCACGGCGCAGCGTATGAGTTCTGGTACTGTGCCAAGAACGGAGCACATCGTGAGATCGCATATCCGCGTGCGGTACAGATGCATTGCCCATCTACTTGCATGCACGATCGCCTGCTCATGCTAGGAGTCCCTCCCCCGCTCCTTCTCGACAGGCACATGAGCACTAACGAGAGTACCAGATTCGTCCTTGGCGATATCGGCGCTGCTCGCATCGATACTCTGGGTAGCAGCGCCGAGCGAATCGCGAAAGTACGCTTCAGGTGCGTCGGCCGCCAAGGAGGCCTGCGCTCCCGCATTTTCGTGCACGGAGGCTGCCTGCAAGTCGGTGTTGTCGGATGCCGGAGAAGCTCGGGCACAGCCATCCTGAATCGTGCAGTCTCTCGCATGTTTGACGCTGTTGGCGACTAACGAAGAGGATGCATCTTCATCCTTGGCGGCTAAGAGTCCCGAAACATCGACCAGGTTGGCAAGATTACGAGTCATCCCTGACTCGTTGATTTGTAGATGTCGGTTTCGCGTGTGCCTGAAAGTTGGGCGTCTTTAGGAAGTCGGCTCCCACGACCCCTTCGCGTGCCGCGACTTCTCGGCATTCTCGGCCTTCCGGCCCGATTCGCCCTTGTCCCAAGAGCGCGCAAGCCAAAGTCCCATCCGAGAATACTTTCCAGTGTAATGAAAGGATAGCAAAAGGATTAGTGATGTGGGTATGTATGTCATGTCCGTAGGCTCAGAAGCCGCCGATGGGTAAAGAGGAGACGCTAGGGGGGCAAGAAGCATGGGCATCAGGACAAAGGAGGGAGTACGCCGTAGCTGTTCGGAATATGCATGGACAACAGTATTTTACGGTGCGCAATAAGTATCATAGGAGTCGATTAGCCGACCAGCCTTGCACGGGAATGTTCACAAGGACGCCGGAGTGGAAGACAGTGCCACACGGGGCCACGTGCACGAGCGGATCACGTCAAACGCCGAGACGGGTCTTCACCTTGCGTGCTCGAGAAGTTTAGGCGCCAAAGTTACAAATGGCGTGTTACTACCATGATTAGTGGTCAGTATAAGACATGCTTGAAGCTTTCTGACATCTGTGTCCAGCGGAGCTGATTCCGTTAGGCTCTTGATTTGCCTCATATGCTCAAACGCCTACCTTTGGATTGTGATATCAGTCTCTGAGTTCGTACCAGATGTGTTCTAGAACCTTTGGATGCAGCATAGTATGTAGCGCACAGTAGTATTACGGCTTCTCTACCATGTTCTCATGTATTGGCTTTCCATTCATGCATTCGAGTCTTAGAGTCTGAAGCGCAGATAGTATTGATTGAATATATCGGAGGATATGAGTGAACGCAATAGCGCCTGGACTACTGTTGGTACTCTCATTTCACGATCAACAAGAACAACGGCTAGTTTGATTACGTCTTTGCTGTGGTTGTCGTTGTATCGGAGTCGCGGCCCGAGCACATTTGACCGTCGTCTGTGCACGCGTTTGCGTTCCTCGTCCCACCACCATCTCTGTTGTCTCACCTCCACTTGATTACCATTGTATCTCGCTTTTGTCACTCATGCCTCCGTCACGGACTGTTCGCAGCATACAAAACTCGCACATTAGCAGTGGTGCTCCCCCAACGGAAGTCGGCGGTCAAGTCTCGTCAACGCGTGACGGGGCCGAAGTCCCCTCAACGCAAGCCGATGCTTCGGCTAAGTTGAGGCGCAGTTCGCGAACGAGGAAGGCCCCAACTCCGTACATCGATGCTCACGTCAAGTCAAAGCGGAAAGGAGGCCGCAGGAAGGGTTTGACCAAGGAACAGCGCTTGCAAGATAGACGCTATCCGCAAGGTATCAGCAAGGATAGCAACTGGCTTGAAGTATCTCGCGCCTTTCAGGACGAATACCTTGAGAGGGTTACGCTGTCGGAGGATCACGCAGAGGTTATGTCGCTCAGGGATCATCCCATGGTCGTGGGAACGTTGTGCGTCGTGAACTTACTTTATCGTGCGATGTATGCTGACACGCGCTCCACAGGAATGAGGAGAACACAGCTACAATCGAAGTACCCTGGTTGACAGAGAACGCGTTGGGACTGCCCAACCGTGTGATCTCTGTTGGAAGGCTTGTACTGATGCCTTCGGCTACGGAAGAGGGATTCCCTAAGGAGTTTTGGGGAGGTGTACTCACAGACTTCGATAAGAAGAAGGGTGAAGGGACCATCCGTTTCCTGGAGTCGTTTGGTTGCATGATGGCCGTCGCTGAGAATGGGAAGGCTACTAATGCCAAAAGGTATGTGTCTACCACGCTATCTTCATTCGTCTGCTAACATTTGCACGGCAGTCTCGGCCGACAGCTTAAGCATCTTCCTCCGTCGGATTCTCATCCCAACATGGTGTTCATGACAGACGAAGTGCTTGACAATATTCCTTTACATCATCTCCTCGGTGCGTCTGTTGTTTGTTCCTCTCTACATCCGCTGTCGTCTTACATCTGGAAGTTGCACCCACAGAGGAAGAGATCACGACCATGTGGAATCTCTCTCGGAACTTCGCCGTCAAAATTGTTACCAACGAGAACACGAACAGACGCAGCTATGAAATCCATGACATCCACAGGGCTCCAATCCAGCGCAACGGTACGCCGGAGGTGTAGGGCCTTTAGTCTGCTCGTGTACCGGCTTGTATTAATGTAGACTCTCATATTTCTGCCTCGTTGTAATCGATAATTGTCACCATTGTCTAGCATCTGCATAGACCACAAGTGTGTTGAGAGTAAGTAGCCATGCACTAGGTTTGTCTTGAGAGCTGACGCCATTGCTACATAACGTTCGATTCCGAGAGTCTATTGGCAATGTATCCTGCCTGCCATATGCATCCGGCTATGCTAGCTTGTCTCTTGTCGGCATTCTGGCGCTCTCTCTGTCTTGACTTCTGTGCCGGTACCATCTTCTGTACTCACCATTCGTACTTTCAACCGGATACAGATAAGCCAGCCTTCAATCTCGGGCCTCATGATTCTCGTCTCATGTTTCCGATTCATGATCATCAGGGGTTTCTGTGAGACTTCATCTAGTCTCTCTGTGAGACGCTTACCAGCCCTGCAATCTCGGAAACAGATGCTCTCTATATGAAGCCGACTGATCATTTCATCTTTGACTCAATATGCGAGCCAGCTGGATTGAGAACCTCATAAAATTGTCTTAAACCACCTTTCTATGTCTACATCTGACCTATAGACCGCCCACTCTTGCACAGTCGGTAGACAGAAAGTGCCAGATAGCTCCTGAGCTCGCGTAAGCCGCTTACACACCAACAAAACACCAACAAAACGGGATGGTGTTGATGTTTTTGACTCGTGAGGCGTAGATCTAGACATGCTATTCATATCTCTGGTCCAACTTGTCTTCATTCATAGTCGCCGATTTCCATGACGATTAGGTCTGACAGAATTTAGAACAACCGCTGTTCGCGGACAATACGGCGCGACCATTGTCTGTCCAAGTGTGCCCTTGTGGCCCCCCTTTACTTGCAGTATACGATCAGATACTCCCTAGTGAGGTCCCAGTAGCTGTTTGTGTAATGCTATCATGTCGAAGAGGGTCTTTTGAGGCAGCGGGTGCCATGGACACGTCACACTGAATTCGATGACGTGGTGATCGATGGGAGTCTCTATGCACGTTCCCTCGCCGACTGGATTGTTCTTTCACTTGCCTCTCACTGCATCTCAGATGGCCATGAGTCAAGCCAATATTCCGAGGTATATATGCGCAAAAGTACTGCGTGTTGTCTGTCATTAACATCGTTGACTCTAGTACCTCCCTCATCGAGCGACTCTTGCACGATGAGATCATTCGGGAGATTATGTCGTTCACATCCGAAGCGGATCTGCCTTGTCCTCCTGAGACACTTATAGACCCCCCTCCTGATGAGGAAGATACAGTTATCCCTCCCGCATGGAGTCATTATCCGGAGCTATTGCCGGAGAACTTGGTCTCTCCTGGACCAGGACACTTGGGCAGCGCAGTGCTTATGAGTCATGTTTGCCAGCGTTGGCGGCAACTTGCTCTCGACCATGCTACCTTGTGGGCGCATACAATCGGGCTACTCCCCAAACAGGTCGAGATCATGGTGTCTCGTAGCAAAACGTCTGACCTGCATGTCATGCTTTATGGGGCATGCGACCGACCTGACCCCGATCTGGTGCTTGAGTACTTCAGGCGTAACCCACAAGCCTCGAGCCGCATACGCACTCTCATCTGGGTCGACGCTCGTATCAGTCACTTCCGTGACAACTATTGCAGCCCAGGCGCGTCCGGTCTGCTCACCCAGTGTGACCTGAGTGGCTTAGTTGATCTGACGGTCTTCGCCCGTGAGACCTTTCGTTTCGAGGACACTCCTATCGATCCCGAGTGGGGATCCACCCATTTCATTCACATCGATCTTCCTGCATTAAAATCGGCCAGCATACACGACACCGTCTTCGCATTTCACAACGCGCGAAATCTCACGACACTCTCTCTACAAATGCTGGACGAACTAGACCGCGATGACCCGTTCGGGAACCTTTTCTTTAATCTTGGCCAACTTCTTTGCTGCCTGAACATGTATAAGGACACCCTTGAGTCCTTGGAGTTGAGCAGTGTGCGCTACACTGTCTTCAGGCCGTTCGTATACGATGTGATTGCTGCGGCTTTCGAATCGGTCGATGAAGCCATCATTCAGTTCTCTCGCCTTAGCAAGCTTGTCGTTCGCGATGAGTTTTGGCAGCCAGAGTATCTCTCCTCTGACGATGAGGGGATAGAAGATCAACCATACGCCGAACCCATACCGCTCATATATGCGTCGGCTTCTCCGCTCGCCATCTTCTTCTCTTTCCTCTCTTATCCAAAGACTGCCGATGTCACTCTCCACGTCGTATGTGAATCTGAAGGATCAGCTGAGACTATGCACAAGGTCATCCCGACGTTATACGGTGCTGGGACACCATACTGCGATGCATCGCGCGTTCTTTTCAGGCCGGATCTTGACGAGATTTGGATAGCCTTCTACAGTCTTCCTGAAGAGATCCGTCTCACTTATCCAGAGGTCGATGACATTGAGGTTGTTGACCCATGGCTTGATACGGTTTTTGGCCTATTTGTGCCGGAACACGACACCCTGACGCATAACCGTCGTCCCTCCCTATCAGTCATGATTTCCTATGGCGACTTCCCACACCCTCCAGATATTGTCAAAACACTTCTTGGAGATGATGTGGATCTTGCAGCACTCGCTGTGCGGAGTGCAAATGAGGACGATTACTCCCAGCTGCAACAGTTCATCGATTCTACAGCCAACCCGGGCTTCACTCGCTGGGAGCCGTTGGCAGGAGCCATGGGAGAGAGTACAGGCGACACCGTAGTGGCAGCCGGTGCTGGAGTTGATGGAGGCAGAGAAGAAAGGATGGAGAGGGTGAGCAATTAGTGGTGGGTGGGGTGGGGGATTGAGAGGTGTGAGTAGAATGCTAAGGGAAGTCAAAGGCAAAGGCAAAGGCAAAGGCAAAGGGCAGAAAGGATTGTCATGCCAAGTGAAGGGCGAATGACAGGGATATTATGTACAAGCAGAGTTTTGCTGTGAGTCTTCAGTATGGCATCCCACTTCCATGACTTCGCTATCTCTTCTCATTATATTTTTGCAATGCCCCGGCGCCCGACATCGCAGCCTGATTGGTCTGCATGGTACGCTGTATTTATGGTGTCATGGCATTAGTATCCATGGCATGGATACCTGTGTTCTCGCCATACATGGTAGACACGAAAGCACCATCTGTGTTTCAAAGACTCGGTTGCATTACAAGGAATCAAAGTTCTCGCCATTTCCAGCCCTAGCACAGTGGCAACGCTGGATTCTTCGTGTATTCGTAAGTCACAGTTTATATGTCAGACAGCGAGCCTGTAAAGTGTACGTACACAGCGGTTCCGATTGATATGGGAGTGAGAACTAGGTGTCATATTGTTCCTTTCGGATGTCGAAACACATAAGATAGACTCTGCCTGAGGTAATTTATGTTACTCTTCCGTCCTTTGGCCAGGCATCCAGTTTTCAGGCTGAGTCCAAAGCCATGTCACTTGCATAACAACCAAGTCTCAGCTCTGTCGGCATGACGGAATCAAATGACACTGTAGTTTCTGGGACTGACATTTTGTCTTCTGTCTGCGTACATTGTATCTTCAAAGATAGTCTCAGATTCAACGCAACATCTGAGATAGATGATGCAGTGTCCTAAGTACAATACAAAACGGTGTTCATACGCTGCTTGCATTTTGTTTATGTCTACGTATCTTCTCTGCAACAATTGGCGCTATCAGTAGGCGGTGTGAGCAGTTCTTGGACATCTTCCACAGCTTGATGCTGTACCGACACAAGTCCCCCCCTTTGAATAGTTGAATTAGTTACTCCCTTGTTGTTCTAGAAAGGAATGAAAAGCTTTTGGGGCACCTCATCTGATCTTATAACCCTAAAGTCCAGCCGCCCCTCAAGGAGTTCTCCGGCGTCAAGGAGCCTTCCAAGGTAGTCAGCTCAGGTAAGGCTGTCGCGTACGGCTCAACAGTCCAGGGTGGTACTTCCTCTGGTGACGAGAGCTTGCCTGGCATAGTACTCGTCGATGCCTGCCCGCTTACGCTCGGTATTGAGATCACCAGCGGTGTCATGACTAAGCTCATCCTCCGCAACACGGTTCTCCCAACTCGCAAGAGCCAGATGTACGTCGCTTACGGTGCTGCCGTCCAGGGTGATATCCTCTCCCGTGANCTCGCAAGAGCCAGATGTACGTCGCTTACGGTGCTGCCGTCCAGGGTGATATCCTCTCCCGTGACGAGAGTTTGACTGGCATAGTACTTGTCGATGCCTGCCCGCTTACGCTCGGTATTGAGATCACCAGCGGTGTCATGACTAAGCTCATCCTCCGCAACAGGGTTCTCCCAACTCGCAAGAGCCAGATGTACGTCGCTTACGGTGCTGCAGTCCAAGGTGGTATCCTCTCCGGTGAAGAGAGTTTGACTGGCATAGTACTCGTCGATGCCTGCCCGCTTACACTCGGTATCGAGACCACCAGCGGTGTCATGACCAAGCTCATCCTCCGTAACACGGTTCTCCCAGCTCGCAAGAGCCAGATGTACGTCGCGTACGGCTCAGCAGTCCAGGGTGGTGCTTCCTCTGGTGACGAGAGCTTGCCTGGCATAGTACTCGTCGATGCCTGCCCGCTTACGCTCGGTATTGAGATCACCAGCGGTGTCATGACTAAGCTCATCCTCCGCAACACGGTTCTCCCAACTCGCAAGAGCCAGATGTACGTCGCTTACGGTGCTGCCGTCCAGGGTGATATCCTCTCCCGTGAAGAGAGTTTGACTGGCATAGTACTCGTCGATGCCGGCCCGCTTACACTCGGTATCGAGACCACCAGCGGTGTCATGACCAAGCTCATCCTCCGCAACAGGGTTCTCCTGACGCGCACGTGCCGGGTGTACGTTGCACTCGCCCTGATGTATGATATATATATATGACGCTGATGCTTGTACTCTAGCTTAGAGTCCGGTATGCCCCAGTAGCCTGCATTATTGCTGAAGGGATCCGATGTGGGACCGAAGTCACGTGGCCGTGTTCATCTAGGGTGGTTTGGTCGCGACTTGCTTGCGACGCGTCTTGTCTCTTTCCGCCACCACGTCATGACCCTCCTACCTCTTTGCCGGCAGTCGCTCAAGGCGGCTTATAGTTGAAACATATGCTCCCTAGTGCTGCTCTCTTGTCAAATGCTCTGGGCGGTGTCGATCGATTTCATGCGAACTGAATGCCATACGCTTGGAATGCTCTTGGCTGCGCCCGATGCAATCTTCACTGTCTACTGCAGTCTACTCTTTCCCTATCTCATCTTTTGATTTGAGTGCTTCAAGGAACAGTAGAATCCTGCTCTTGTGTCTTTTGATTGTCTGGCAGCCTTTTGGTCTCACCTGCATGTGAGCAATTTACTGGTTGTTCTCTTTGCGTCGGCCAGCTTGCCCCATACTTGCCCTATCTGGCCTCAGACATACATATCGCTTTGATAACATTGATGGTGGTGCTCAGCGTCACCGCGCCTGCACGCCAGATGGTACCTTTGCTTTGTGTATTGTCTTCCGGTTGAGGTTCGGTCAAGGAGAGGCTGGTTCGCTTGTGAAGACATTGCCAACTGTGTGCTGTCTTTTTTCCTGTTTACATCTTCCTTGTAGCTTTGCTCTTTTGTTTTGCTCCTGACTGTATGTACGAGTCCAAGGGTCTCTAGGCTGTGACTCATGTGGGATCTCTGCGGTTTCTCGAGGTCTTCGTCCTGTGGCTTGTATGGTGTTTTGTCTTACTTCTGGCTGGTCCGGAAAGCACTCCAAGCCGCTCTATAGATATTCTATACTTACAGAGACTCCAAGGTAGTGCTCAGCGTCACCGCGCCTGCACACCTGTCTGCCTCTTTGTTTGTTATGTCATCTTTTGAGCTGGTTCTATGGAGTGTACTGGATCTCCCTGTCGCCATGAAGTAAGCCACTGGATATGGACAGCTCTTTTAAGCTCCCAATGTTATCAGCTCAACTTCACAAGAAAGCAGCAAATAGGTGGACTTTACTGCACTTGATAGCCCCGGCGCAATCCCTTGTTGGCTTTTCTCTATGGATTTTGGCTATTCTGGCGATGTGGGCAAAATATTCTGCTCAACATGCCAGTTGAAGGCCCCTTGCCTGTTATAGAGGGCACAGAATGGTCTGAGTGATGTCTATCTTCAGCTGCAGTCTTGTCCCTATATATGGTATTGACTATAAGACCATAACATCTGCTTGACAAGCGCTTCCCTCTCCAGGCCATCCATGCTTAGGGGTCATCCTTTGTCCTACTAAATCAAAGCTGTTGATGCCTTGCTTTGCAATATATCTTTAGCTAGTCTGTTATTAACGCTAGGTAGACTGGAATGACAGTACATTATCATTCACACAGTATGGTCATTGGCTCTGTTTGTTGAAATGGCAGTGCCCCTTATTTCCTTTTTGTTTACTGAGTCCAAATTGTTGAGTTAAGTCCTATCACACACTCTTGGGAAGTGCAGGAAATAGGCAGCAACTTTGATTGTCTGCATTCAGCTCATGTTGGCAGCTTCCTGGCAGCATCAGGGACCAATCAATGGTATATGAGGTGCAAAGACTTGTGGCTAGAACTTAGACTTGCCTCTTCAGCTGGAAAGGTTTAGCTGCTTACAGCACTGTGCAATGTGGACCCGAGCTGACAGGTTCATTTTGCTCATATGGCAGCTGTTTGTAGCACAACTCTTGATTCATCTTAATTGAGTAGTAGAGAGCATCATTTGGTGTTTCTTTACACTGGCAGCCTTGACTTTGCTGGTATGATCTATCGGCAAACTAATTGTATACGCCTGGTAATGTGGAATTGTCCAATAATGCTCATTGAACTTGTGCTTTGTGCATCGGGTACTGCACAGATTACGCCTGATATGGCTTCTCTTCATCGATTCTGGTCGGTTATGATCCTAAATGAGTTGGTCTAGGCACGCAGATGCCCTCCTTTATACCCCCTCGCACAAATAGCCTCATTCTGATCATTCTGGTAAATCATCAAATTGTATAGTATATATACCAACGATTTTTTGCGAGTTCATTGTACATGAATGCCACAAGCGTGAATGTTATTAGCTTATCGGACATTGAATTTTCTTCTTGACCTCTTGGTTCATTACAATAGAATGCCGACTCTTGGAAGGCCTGTGATGATTTTGTTGGAGTGTTTTTAGCTTTTCTTCAATTACATATAGGCAAAACCCCAGAGACAGGCCGAGGCTGGTTTCACTTCGCCAAGCCTCAACCCTTTCTTGTACATTATGATCCAACTGGGTAAGAAGTTACCATTATTCTGCCTTCCCCAGTTCTCGATGAAACCCACGTGCTGCTCGGGAGAAGTATACGACATCAATCCACGACATCCGATGACGTGTCCACTAATGAGAAACCCGACACACCTGGACGCCTGAGAGCTGACTGTCCTCTTAGCCACCATGAGCCAGTCTGAAGTTAGGTATGGTATCCTAGTCCATCACTCGGAGCGCTTTGAGACTAATCGGTGCTTTGAACCTTGACAGTGAAAACCTGATCAATATCTGCTTGCCAGACGAGATGATCAGGGAGGTCATAAGGATGGCATCTGAAGAGGATCCTCCAACACCCCCAAAGCGCCCGTGGAATCCAAAGACGACTCAGTATCAAGTTGAGGCGCCCACAGATGAGGATCCCTATCTCCCACCTACTTGGACTCTTCAACCGTCTTTGGCTCCATTGAACTTGCTCTCCCCTGGTCGCGGCCATCTCGGAGGCGCTATCATTGCGAGCCAGGTCTGCCACCGCTGGAGAGAGCTGGCTCTTGATCATGCAGCTCTGTGGGCAAACTGCATCGGGCTCCTTCCCGAACAGATGGAGGAGATGGTCCATCGCTGCAAATCCCATCCTTTGAGCGTCGTTCTCTACGGCTCAGCCGAGCGCCCTGATATAGACCTCGTATTCGAGTACTTGATGCATCACGGGGAGGTGTCTCGTCGCGTCGAATCCCTGACTTGGTACGAGACCCGCAGAGGCCACTTCCGTGAGCATCATTACGCCCTGAACAGGCAGAGCTTGCTCGCTCGCTGTGACCTGAGCGGTCTGCTTCATCTGAAAGTGGTCGCATCTGAAGATGATGGCCGTCAGCCCGCATTTCTAAGTCCCACGCCTCTCGACATTACTTGGTATTCGACTCAAGTCGCCCGACTCCGTCTGCCTGCTTTGGTCTCCGCTTACATCTACGATGCATCATTTGCATTTGATGGTGTTCGCAATCTTACCAAGCTATCGTGGCATTTTCTTGAAGATGCAGACTCCGAGGGCTTGTTTGACAAAGCTCTTCATATGGGACTCCTTATCACTTGTCTTTGCGAGTACCAAGAGACGCTTGAGGAGCTCACACTGGAGAGTGGGACGTATCCTACCGACCATCCAGATTTGTTTGACGTCATCCAAAATATGGCAAACCAGACTGGTGGCCGCTTCAAACCGGTGCATTTCCGACGCCTACGAAAATTAAAAATCCGCGAGCGAATATGGCAACCGGAGCTGGTACCCGCTGGCGACGACCGCCCTGATGAGCCCGACGCCACGCCTGTTCCCCTCTTGTACAGCTCACAGTCGCCAATGAAGGCCTTCTTTTCGCTCATTACCTATCCCCCGACCTGCCAGCTGGCCCTCGATGTCGTATGCGAGACTGTTGGGTCTTGCGAAAGCATGAACGCACTCCTCTATCAGCTACACCTTTCAGGGTCCCCGCTTTGGGATGCTGCACATGTCACCTTTGATCCCGCTCCGGAACTTCTACGGCTTTTGCTGTATCAAATCCCCGAAACCATTCGGCGCCAGATGCCTGACGGGGAGACCTCTGTAGTTGCAGATGCATGGATGGATGCCGTTTTTGGCGCGCATGCACCAGGTAGCAGTATCAAGCCTGCTTGTCTGCCGCCAGTGATAGACATCACAATCCGCTATCGCAGCTTTGATCCTGTGACTGTGGTGGCAACTGTATTCGGCGACCGTGATCTCCCGGTTTTGTCGGTGAGGAGTCCTTACCGAGACGACTATATGGACCTGTTGGGGCACTGGGATACAGACGGACTTCTTCCATGGTATACTCGCTGGGAAGAGTCTGAGCATTTGATATGCTCGACTGCGGGATCTGATGGCGACACTCATGGCGAAGACAGTGGGAAGGATGAGCAAGACCAAGAGGCGGAGTAGGAATGTGTTGAGGGTGTTTGTTAGGCATGTCATTAACCATGATCTTGTATTTCCACATCTCTTCTACATGCATTAGATGCTGTGATTGAATGTCAATTATTACTCTGCCTTGCACATTGCTGCTGTGTCTGGTAGCATCCGGTGAATAGGCATATGCAATGCAATGTCTCCTGCATAATATCTGCGCCATTCCGCTCTTCATATTTTTCCGATGGTTACCCACTGGTCCTAAAGACTTTAGTCTATGTATATTCTGCATTGATATACATGAATATCCTGTTCCTCGGCTTGAATTGACTTGCCCACTCATTCACTCCATCAACAGCTTTGCGGTAATTCCAATATATTGGGCCACCTCAGAGTTTGGTCTCAATATCGTTCAACTTGTGAGTTGAAATTGTTTCTTGTTTGTATAAGACTCCGAACAATTGCTGCAGCCTTGAAGATGCTGGCATGCTATACAGCGGCAATCCCGGAATCAAATCGCCCTCCAGTTGTGCCGACTGATGTCTCTTCCGGGATCGGCGATTTTCACTAGCTCTCTCCTAACACCACCCCCTTCCTCAACAACGTATTCATCAACATAGCGCGTATAGCGCGTTTGATATAGCGAGTGCCCATATGCAGACCTTCGAATCTGATTGCTATGCAATGGGTAGTTCATATAACGTATGGAATACCCCTGTCCAATTGACCCCTGTGTAGTGCTCTTGAATAACCCACCGATCTCGTCACAGTTTATGGCTGGCTTGTACAAAATAGCATGTTGTTATTCAAACATCTTGACTTGCAGAGGACGGCTGTAGGCATTATGTGCACGATGAAATATGTATGTCATACATACTGCCAGTTCATTCAAGCTCTTAAATACTGCTCAGGAGATCTTTGTGTTTAGTAGGACGGGTATCCTCCTGTACGAGCTGGTTTCGCAGTGTCTCGGCAGGCACCATTGCCTCGCCCACCCCCTATCATTCTGCATTTATAAGCTAGGCTCAGTTACGGATGTCTTTGTACCCTACAACCCCTTCATAGCCCCTCTCCTCTACCCAACTTGCAGCGATCCTGTACAAACCGCAAAATCAACAGCGTTCTACTACTCATAGACAACGTGCATACTCTTGGACTAGCTGGCACACTGAACCTGAAACTGCTTCCTGATAAATTCGGCAATCTATTAGGCGGCTCCGTCGTTGATTTCTTTGCGCCAGATGTCTGCACAGAACTGTAAGACGGTGGAGGCAAAGAGAAAGCCGTCGCATTGTCGGGAGAGAGAAGATAGCTCTGTACATCTGTATGTGCTTTGCTGTCGTATAAAATACCCGATGATGCTTACTATCTGAGAAACGCCTGCATCCCCAGCACCCTAGACGCAGATGGCGCTTTGACCGGACTACCAGAGTTTGTAGACGAAATAGGGCATCCAAAGGTGTCTTTGCAACTACAGTCGTCATTGCTAGTCACTGACAGCTTGTCAGCCGTCCGACTCGAATCCTCCAAGTTATGAAGGAAGGTGCAATGCCTCAAGCATTGGAAGTCATAGGACCCAAGATTTAGCTCATAGACAGGTTGAAGTATCATCATACTACCCAAGCACAGCCGAGGAGTTGGGAGTCCCGCGATCTAGACTACCACGCTGCCGTATGACCACAGGCGGCCGTGCACCCATCAGAGAGACATCTTGATGTCATGTTACCATGTGTTGTAACCCTTTGTCGGGCAACTTTATGGAATGAAATGGGTTACAGTAGCAATGTATTCATTTGGAAAATCACGAGACTACACTTCCTGATTGCCTACAAAGCCGCCTCTTCCGAATGTATACACCGATTTTGCCTTGTCAACGTGCAGCGAATCGAAGGAAGACTCCAGATGCATTTGCTCTAGAGCCTCCGCCAAAGTTGGTACAGCTATTGCGGTACCTGGTTAGCGCTACCATCTTCGGGTGGAAATAACCTTACTTAGTATATCCTGCAATGGACATACTCTCCGGTCGTCCGATATCCACCCACAATGGTCTGGTGTGCTCTTGATGATATACTTGATTCTGCAAGGATCTGTGTCAATGTCGCGTCTGCTTCCTATCGGTGACTTCCTACTCGTCTGCATTCCCCACCTCCCCTTTGTTGCACAGCCCAATTATGCGCTTCTTGGTGTATAGCTCCCATATCTCGCACTGTATTCTTAGCAGGCCACTTGTGGCGTGATCCTTTGACTCACCATACGATGCCCATTATCAGATTCAATCTCGGGTTGAATGCGAGTCAACACGCCGAAAGTGGCTTTAGTTTCGTCATTCTTCTGATCATCTGGTACCTTCAACATCACCCTGTGAAGATCTCTGTACAGCCTTCCAACAATATAAAGTGAATTGAGCCCACAGAGTTCCCACTGTGCAACGTCGCGGCTTTGTCACTTGTCCCTGCCCGTCTACATTGAAATAAACCGGTTCAGATTTGACTCTGGTCCTCTTATGAGCATATAGTGAAGGCAGTTCGGTATCTTCACTACTCACAGCTCGGGGTTTATAAGGATGTGCTGGGAAAAGGTGACGGGAAGATTGAGAGCCATCGTTATCAGAATGAGATGTCGTAGTAGTTTTTGCACAAGAACCTGTGCTATTTGATCGCTCATATATAATCTGCCACACCTGACTCAGCATGACGCGCTCTTACTGAATACATGCTCCAATATATGATACAGTGGAGCGACGCAGTGGCTGCCACGTAAGCCATATCGTCGTCAGTTCGTAAGGCATTTAACTTCGTGCCATTATTAGAATGCAAGCATGATACCGAGAAAGAAGACATACGCCATAAACCGGATCATACAACGGGTATCAGGTGATGGGGATCATAGGCAATCTTATATGAGACACATGCTATGCTAGCCTGAAAGTCCAATATATTGCTATCCTATCGTCGTTCAGATCAAGCGAAATGCCGTTTCAGTGCACTGTGCCGACATGGCACCTGCAGGTTGTATATGCTCAAGAAATCAAGTTCATGTGGGCATATATAGCGAGGCCTCTACAGAACCATGTGTGCATTCTTATGTATGTAAAAGGTGTACGTTTCATAGTTGAGTAAGCGACGGGTCCGGTGATATACAGCGCCCAAAGTAGTCCTCCCAAGTCTGTAGATTGGATTCCGCAGATTCTTCGCCATTGAAAGGCAGTACCACTCCTCCATCTATAGCTTCCATTAGTGTCTGTGCAATGAGGCCTACCGTGTGGGCCCTGACTGGCTGGCGAGTCGCGATGCATTGACAGTCTGGGCAAGAGTACAAGGGACGGGGAAGATTATTCGCCGCCTCAAAGAAAGGATGTATACCTGGGGGGTACAAGGCTATTTGTGACGGCGTCATAATTCCTGGTATGGTGTTGACATCGTAGTCTGGGTGGGTTTCCATATAGTCTGTTCTTATCTCCTCGAACCACAAGAGCAGACATTGTCGGCATAAAACATGACCGCAATCGATCAATCTTCCTGCCTGTGATCAGATAACAGCGACACATACACAAAGTGATTTGCTCACGTCCAAGCTTCTTTCATCTCTGCGAGGCAGACAGTGCACCTTACAAACCTCAATAAGGACGCTATCACAGGGTGATCCTGACTCAGCTGTTAGACGATACTTATACCTTTGAGACACCTTCAACGCCTTTTTCGTACCTGTCTCATAGAGAACACCTTCTGATTGTTGCTTTTTGGAGTAGTGTTGACTTGCTCTGAGTCGACTATATCAAGCTCTCCATGACCTTCATAGACAATAAGATTCCTTGAAAAAGACACGTAGATGTGTGCCATACCGGCTGCCTGGGCCTCAGGATCACTAGGCTGTCTAAGTTGATCTGCGTTTACTTTGGCGTCATCATATGATCGGACCGATGTGGCATCATAGCGAGGCATCCTGTCTGAGGTATCGTCTGTACTAGTCTTGACTCTATACAAACGTGACGTGAGATTGTGGCGTTTAACGGCATATGCAGGCACAGCACTAACATGTGGATGCAGATGGCCGGTGAAGGACGTGGAGGGATGGATGTTGGAATGATTGATGCTTGGGTCTGTTTCGGAGTTATATACCGGTCGCAATTTCCCTGCGTGAGAATGCACTGCCTCCATGCCAACATTCTGATGCCGGGTTACTGTCAGTCATTTGATTTCATGCCAAGGTATATTACCCAGGCATCGAACTGCGATGCGATGGTCACAATCTCTTGACTAGATTGGCTGGCTGCCAGAAATGCGACGAGAATACATGATATATCTTTTACTACATGCTACTAGCTCCTGAGATCCTTGAGCTATAAAGCATAGCTGTGTGAGCTGCGTTCCGGTATGTAAGTTCAGAGTTGCTGTGTGAAGCTATACATAACCATGGAGGAAGATTGTGCTTATTTAGGCATGGGCAATGTGACTGAACCTCTCGCATACTAGGTCAAAGTGCTCGTCCTCATACTTAGGTCCATGCCCAGGTATATGCCGCAGTAGACGAGATACCCTGCCTATATTTCCCCACATCCATACAGACCTTGGCATATATGCGTCTGGAGCACATGAGCGGTCGTTCGCCTGCTGCCGAGGCATGAATTGCATCACAAGACAATGTTTATCTTCTGAGATGCGCTCTCGTAAGCAGCAATAGGAGGAGCTCTTCACACAGTTCTCTGTGTGTCGCATTTTCGAGTCTCCTCTCAAGTGAAATCCCCTGTCGGTGTAACGGTCGTATAGCCGTATGGCGTCAGTGCTCCAAGGCCGGCGATAACTTGTTTCCTCGACCAATGTCTGTTGAGGGTGGCAAACAACGAATGTGGATGCTGTGATGTAGTTGATGAGATGCGTAAATGGGAAGCGCACGATCGGATCTAGGGCGCAGTCGGTTGAGGACTCCACTATGTCGATCCGAAGACCATTTTCCGCCGCCAAACGAGTTAGGCCCTTTACGCCAGTCCGCTCTGGATCTAGTACTAAGAACGAAGGTACGTCCTCCTTTCGCAG